TCACAATTTTTTTAGATGAACTTGCGTAGACAAGTTCATCTATGTTTTTGAAAAACAACACTTATATATTTTAGTTTGTTTTTCAAAGGACGAATAAATAATTTTATTAACAACTTCATTGTTTTTGTTTTCATATAATAAAATATCAATTTTAATCAAAAAGAAAAATAATAATGTGGAATGAGAAATATGAATAAATGTGTAATTAAAATAAATATTATAATAAATCGATGTTATTTAGTTCATTGATTATTAGCATGCTAAAAAGTTGTGTATTTGTCAAGAAAGAATTGTCAATATTAAAATTACAACTTTATGATTACACGTCTTGTTAAATACGAAATTTCATTCTGCTAGGTATCAATCGTACATAGCAAAAGTTTATCAATCTTACGAAGAAACTCTTTAAATAGATAGCCTTTGTTCGAGTTTATATTTTGCTGATCTGTCAAGATCGATTGTGTAGATATAAGTCCTAGGACGATATGTACCACTAGAGATTTCTTCTTGAGTTATTATTATTGCAGAATACTTTAATGATTGTTCGATGTATGTCCAGGTAAAATTTCAGATTAAAACTCTTTGATTCGGATTTCTTTATAATATTTTGCATGATATAGAAAATTTGGTAAAATGATCATAACTCAAGAAGGAAACACTCATGGTGCATATCTCTTTAGGGCATTTGTCTACATGATGCATCTTAACAACCAGTAAAATATGAGCTTGAACACAGATTATAAATAGGAGGCGTACCTCTCATTAGTTGAAACAAATACTATTGAATCAATGATGGTCTTATAAGGAGGTATGTTCAGATTTCCGAAAAAGGAAATTACAGAAATTTCCGAAGCTTCCATCAACTCGATAACTACATAGCAAAGCAAATGAAAATATTTTGGAAATATTGGAAAGTATAGAAATTTTAGAATTTTCTGTAATTTCGGAAATTTCGCTATGTATAGAATTTTGGAAATTTCAGAAATTTCGGAAATTATATAATTTTGAGAAGTATCACACAATTTAGAACACAAGTGTTTGAAATTTCCAAAACTTCCGAAATTTCCTTTTTCGGAAGTCTGAACACTGCTGAATTTTAGATATACACCTGTAAATAAAAAAAGCCAGAATTTCGAGATGAAATTATTTTTGTATATGGGTCGAATGACGCGTAGAATATTTTAAAAGTTTCAGCCGAAAAAAATGTTCTACTGCTGAGACATCGAGTTTCCAAAAAAATAATCGCTTATCACAGACATGATATAAAGCACGAGCTTATTATACATGGAAAAAACTTCCGATCGAAATTTTGTCATTTGATACAAAACGTAGAGTCGAAAATTCAATAAAACGAGCATAACTCTGTTTCAAATACTCATTGGGATGAATTTGGGGAAATTCAATTACGCTAGGTAGAGGGTACTCGATTCGAAGTTTCATTAAAACTACCTTTATTTTGTTAGATGAAGGTTCTTAATTCAAACGATTTCAAATTTCATATAAATTTTATCGATAAGTGTTCAATTAAATTATGAAATTTATATTTTCTAGATTGTTTAAATTTATTTATCTAAAAAAAAAACAATGAATTTTGAAAATTTATGTCAAATATGTCAAGAAAAATCAGCACCATATACATGTCCAAAATGTCAAATGAAATATTGTAGTTTAACATGTTATCGTGATATATTACATCAAAAATGTTCAAAAAAATTCGATGAAAATGAACTAATCAATTCTATGAATATTGATGAAAATAATCATGAAAACCAGACAACAACAAATTCATTTGTACGAGAAAGAATTGAAGATATTTTAAAAAGAAAATTAGATGAAAAAGATTTTCATAATGAGGAAGATGATGAACAAATTGAAGAATTATTTGAACATTTATTACCAACAAAAGATTCAGAATATTATCGAGAGGTAAATTCGACAAACTAAAAATTCTACTTTTTTCCAAATTTCAATTTCTCTTGAATGTGTTTTTACAGTCTCGTGAGAAATTATAAGAGAAAGAAATTTTCGCAGTTCTAGCTCTAGTTGTGACAGATATTGATACGAAGATGTTTTCTCTCAGACAAAATACTACAGTAAGTCGATGATTTTAGCATCATCTGCCTGATTTCAGCTAAATAAACGAACAAAGACTTCTTTTGTCAAATTTTCGGCCTGTGAAATGTTCAGCTAACCGATTAGTGTCTATTAGGATAGTCTCAGTCTTCTATCATTGAGTACAAAAAAAATACTAGACATTAGATTTCCACTAGAAATGCTTGTACGTTATCATTATATAATTTAAAGCATTTGTGAAGCAGATTTCTAGTATTAGGACATTGATTTTTCGTACTTCTATAATTCTGAAACATTTCGGATGAATTTCAACTGACACGTTTCATTGATACTATGTTCGTTATTATTTTATTTGTATAGGAAATGACTAATATTAATGATGATGATGAGGAAGACGATGGTGAAGATGAAGGTGAAGAACGTATTGGAAGTGATGAAGAACCTATGCCTGATTTACCAAATGATCTTGATGAATCCGATGAAAATGTAAATCAACTATGGAATTATTTAACAAAAGAAGAAAAACATGAATTTAAGTCAATGTTAAATGATGGACGCATGTCACATTTACTAAACGATTATAAACCATGGAAACCATGGTGGTTATATAAAACACAAGCACCTAGTCTTATTACAGATTTAGAAACTACAACATCTTCTCCCTCATCACCTACATTACCTGATACTATTCCAACAATAGCATCTAATATAGTTTCACTTCCATCACTGACTTCAGTTCTTCCTCATGTTCATGTTCGATTTGATCTTTTTGAAATTCTTTTTGCTTATGTTCTAATTAGTATTCGTTATCGTGGAGATTTTAATTCCTATATATATGAATCAGGTACTGAATTCTTACATATCGCTTCAAGACATTTTACACAAAAATCAGAAATATTTGATGAACAACATGATCCAATATCTATTCTTCATACACGTATATCATTAGTTCGTGAACATTTACAGGATAAAAATATATCTTATCGTATATCTGAAGAATTTTTTATTAATTTACTTGCTGATATTTTAACTATTATTCATGGTCCATATCCACGTCAAACGCCATCAAATATTTATGTATTAGCTGCACTATCCGATCTTAAACGATTTCTAATAAACATTCAAGAATATAAACCATCAGTTGAATCAACAGTAAATGAAGAATTAAATCAAGAAATACCAACAGCCATAAATGTATTTCATACTAATCGAGCAGTTAAACCAAAATTAACAGTACATAAACCGGTAAGTTTTCAGACAAAAATATACAATAATGGCAAAAAGTTTCATGACATTGAAAAAACGTTTACCAAAATTTTTTCAATAGAGTTATTTCGAACTTGATACATATGTTGAGCATTCTTCTTATAAGAGAACTGTTTCAAGTGATGAATCATTTTCAAGTTCAGACTCTATGCCAACAAATCTAACGAGAGTCTTTCGACCGAAAGTTTAGTTAACAGATAGATCTACTGATGACTAGAACATTTTGGATGATATTTTCAAAACATTCTAGTCATCAATAGATCTATTTGTGGGCTTGATTTCTGATCGAAATATCCGCACTCGGTTTGTTAGTAAATATCTTACCATAGTCGAAAACTCCAGTCAAATGGCTACAAGTCTGGATGAAAATTACGATTTATCACTCGAAACAATTTTCTCGTTAGTTATTCAACTTTCGTATACCATAAGATCAAGTAAATAGGACAACATTTAATGAATGAATAATATAAAGTAAAAAGGATGCAGCGGTAAAAAGTTCCGCGTCACTTTCGACTTCTTTTATTATATCTGTCTTTTTTCGAAAGTTAATGGATAGTTTTTTAATTTTGAAATCATAGAGTACACGTAGCTTTTCGAAAGATGCTTGTATGTAGAAACCTCACTTATTCATTTAAAACTAATTATGAACATCAACAAATAGATTCTCTTTTGAAACCATCTTGTAGATCTATCTCAGTTCTACAAAATAAAATGTTTTGTAGCTATGTGATATGCAAAATAAACGAATTATATGATGTCACGGAGAAGACGTTAAAAATCTTAACATATTTAAGCTATTTTCACTTGATAATATGAATAGAAATAGTTTCTCTAATACAGAATTGAATAACTCACTCATTTTCTATATCACACGATCTCAAAAAGTGTCATTTTATAGAACTGAAGTAACTCTACCATATGGGTTCAAAAAAAGAGCTTATTTGATGCTATTCACGTTGAATTTTAAGAAAATACCTGTGATTTCTACATAAAAGAATCTTTTCAGAAAATGCGCATACTCTATGATTTCAAAACTAAAAGGATGTCAATTAAGAAAGAAGTGAAAAGTATCACTGAACTTTTTATCACCGTTGTAGATATCGATCAACTATAATAAAATTTTTCTTTGTAGAATAATAGTAAATTATGTTCGATTGTTTCAAAGACATCGAATCCAACGAAAACAAAAAAACCTGAAAAACTAAAAACATTCAATCGTAAAATGGTTCTTAATCTTTCACATAAAATTGATTATCTTCTAAGTTGGACAATAACACATTCAAACCGTCTTGTTATGCTTGAATATGAATTAGAACAAATTGAACATGATCTTCGTCATCAATTAACTCAATATCAACGTGATAAGAATCGTATTGAAAAAAATTTAAAACATATTCGTTTACAACAACAAACAACTAATAATTCGAATCGTATTCAAGAATTGTAAACTATGTATATTATTCTTTTTGTCTTTTCTTTTAATCAAATAAATAAAAGAAGATACAGGATGATGAATCCAAAGATAAAGAAGAAATAAAATGTATATAGTAGATATGAAAAATACAAAAAAAATGGCAAGGTTACATTTTTATCAGTAAAATGATAATAAAAGAGTTAGACGATCAAATAAAGTTGTTGCAATTATTTGACTAAAACTCATCATGGATAGAGACAATACCATAGATTCTAGTACATATAACACGGAACTCAATCGTCCTACTACAGCCCCACCACATCAATCAACCACAGTTATTAAATACATGGCACCACGTACTTTAGCTCTTAATCTTTCGAATAATTTTCAGGGATCATTACGTAGTTTTGCTCTTCCAAATGTTGACGCAAGTCTAGCGGCACCAACACTAACAACAGCTTATGGCCTTGTTTCACTCATTCAAACCCCACCATCATCAACTTTATCACCAATACATAATATCGATGGAGAACATATTATTCATGAACATCGTGAATTATCCAAAGTAAATGACAGATTAACAGATACTGTTTTACTTTATTGTTATTATGATGCACATAATCGTGCACAAGAATTACAAATTGAACTACTTCAAACAAATGCAAATAAAAATTCTTTAGTTATAGAAAAAATGTTTCAATCAGAAGTTGAAACAGGTCATCAATTAATAAATAATGCATCACGTTATAAATCAGATTTAAAAAAAAAATTAAATGATATTCATCAAGTAACTATAGCTAATGATGAACATTATCAACAATTATTATCAAAACGTAATACAACAAATAAAGAAGTATTTGAATATCAACGTAAATTAGCACAAAATCGAGCTGAATCAGAATTTCTTCGTTGTCGTATACAACATTTTAATGATGAAATAAATTTTTATACATTAAAAAATAATATTTTACAATCACGACAAGTTAAATTACGTTATGAATTAGATGAAGAAATATTTGCTAAACAAGTTTTACAAATGGAGTTAGAAGTATTACAAAATGAGAAAATAACAAATGAAGATATATATTTGACAGCAATAAATGATATTCGACAATCAATTAATTTTAATCAAATAGCAGCAATTGAACCATCAAATAATTATCGTGAACAATTAGGTTATGAATTACGTCGTATGAAATCCGAATATGAAAAAAAACTTCAAACATATAGAGATGAATTACATCGAAAACTAGAACTTGAATATCATCGTTATCGAATGCATAAATCACTACCAATGCCAAGTCCATTGAAAGAACATGAAACAAATTTAGAACAATTTAAACGTGAAAAAAGAGATATTGAACAACAAGTTCGTATTGTACGTGAAAATATTTATCATTTACAAAGTCAAATAGAAACAATAGAAAAAAAAATTATTGAGGAACGAATAGATACAGAATCTATGTCAAAATCGCAAAGACATTTAAGAATGCTTCAACAAATTATTCGTGAAAGAGAAAAACAATTAGATGAAGCTATAGAAATTCGAACAACATTGAAGAAAAAAATTGAAAACTGTCAAGAAGAAAGTAATCGATATCCAAAACGACTAATAAATAATGCTTATGAAACAGAACAACCAACAATATCAGCAAGACAAAATATACAAAATACAAATAAACAACAAATACATTCATCATCAACTATTATTCAAGCAATTCCTCCTTCATTACGATCAAGAACTAATCAAACTGAACAAATATCATTAGAAGAAGGAACATTAATGCGATATAATGATTTTAATGTTGAACAAGGTTCCACTTAAAACTTGTTTTTTCTACATGAAAACTATATTTCTTTTTTCTATTTAGATTGTAAAGAATTAAATAAAAGCTTACAGAAACCGAATATAGATGAAATAGCTGTTATAAGAATACTTTGTAATCGAAGTGTTGCTCAACGTCTTCAAATTCGTGAAATATATAAGAAGCTTTTTGGTCAAGTAAGTTTTCTAAAATAAAAACGAAGGTTATTTTTAATTAATATTAAACTCTTCCAATCAGGGTAGCTCAAAGGCATGAGATAAATTGTTGTTTTTTTTTATTGAATTGAGTTGATCCTATCTTTGATACACCATGATTAAAACTCTTTGAACTAGCTGGAAATCATTTTCGATTAGATATGTAACAGTTCATACTTCATAATTAAGTTGTTGGTATTCTTTAAACAGGAACGCTCCGATATTGGTGAGCAAGACTAAACGCTAGAACTCCGCTGTAGCAAAAAAGAAAATCTTTCAAGATTGAGGAGCTATCTGTAACGATAAATAAAATGAGAGATCTAGTGACAGACTAGCGGAGTAGCTAGCTGCTACCCTCGGCAATGATATTTATTTGGCTACTTCACATCTCCAGCATGTCTCTATTTCACATTCAACACAAGCTTATATATGATAGAGAAATAAAGAGAGAGAGAGACGACGCAGGAAAAACAATAGAAAGAAGAAGGGGAAAAAGGAAACAAGAAGATCAGCGAACCATGACGTATATATCGGCACACTATCTCCTTGAATCCCCCCACTCGAGACATCCCTTCTATAAATCGAGTCTATCCATGTCATTCACATAAAAACAGTTGATCGATAATATCCGTATAAGTAAGAAAGAATAAAATCATCGACATGTACTGGGTTTGGTGATATGGATTTTTCATAGATTTAACTCTGACTTCCAGTTCACTCAGAGTCGAAATTATGATAGTTACACAGTAAAGATTTTCCCCCATAGTAAATATTTCGTTCTTCATATGTTATTAAATATGTACAACACATACTCAAGTCAGTATAGAAAATTAAGTAAAGCACTTAAGCGTGGAAAATACGACTAGAGGACATTTAGAAACCATTGTTATTTTTTTATGTGTTACTCTCAGATTATATTCAAGCATGTATTCATGAAGAATTATTGTGACTGACTCATCTATGAAATATTTAAATACCTAAAAGAAAATATATGTTGAATAATATTTCGATACATTAATAATACAATTTAGAATCTAAATGATGTTATTGAAACTGAAATAAATGGAAATTCAAAAAGAATCTTAAAAATACTTTTATTATCACCAATTGAATATGATTGTTTTGAATTACGACGAATATTAACTGGAACAAAAATTGATGAAACTACTCTTATTGAAATATTTCTTACTCGTTGTAATGAACAAATTAAAACAATAATTGATACTTATTCAAAGAGTAAATTAATCTTATTTATTAAACAAAATTCATGATTTGTTTTTTTTGTAATAAATTAAAGTATTTAAAAGTACACTTGAACATGATATAATCGGTAATGAAGAAACAGCTTCAAAACAAATTATTCTTGCATTACTTCAAGCTAATCGTCCAGAAGATGATAATATTGATGATGATGAAGTACTAGAAGATGCTCAAAATTTATATGAAACAAATGCAAAATGGCGAAGAGATGGTTCAACATTTATTCGACTTTTATGTAATCGAAGGTATTTTGTAAAAAAATTCATTTTATAAAATAAAATCTATTTCGTATATATTAGTAATGCAAATTTAAAACAAATCTTTGATGCTTATCAACAATTTAGTAAAATGGATATTGAACAAGCAATTCAAATTGATAAAAATCCTGAACTTAGTCGTACATTGATGGCTATTGGTAAGTGAAAAGATTTTTATCTTGAACTAACCGAACTTTCTTTTCTAATAGTTCGAATTGTAAGAAATCGACCACGCTTTTTTGCATTCGAATTAAAAAAAAGTCTAAAAGTAAAAAAGAAATCATTTATTTTTTTAACTTTTATTAATTAAATTCGAAATATTTTTATATTTAGAGTTCTGGATGTAATGAACAGAATTTAACGCGTATAATTGTTTCACGATGTGAAATTGATATGGTACAAATAAAATTGGAATTTGAAAAAATATCTAAACGTACACTTTTTGATCAAATACATGTTTGTTTAATTAAATAATTTATTTAAAAAAGAAAACAAAAACTTAATTTTTTATTTTAGACAGATACAAATGGATATTATAAACGAGCACTTTTAGAGTTATTACGTCAACGTATTGAACCAATCAATAATAATTCAGTATTTAAACAGTTACTTGAATCAACAATAGCACAAAAAAAACCCCGACCAATTGTGCAATGGAAACAGCCAATTAGTAAAAACACATTTAGAAGAAGTGTGAGTAACCGAGATATTTATAATTCGAGTCAATTCGATCGAAATAATCAAGCAAAAAGTAATACACTCTTAACATTTAACACCGAACCATTAGACTTACAATATACTGGACTACTTCCAGTTAGTAAACGTTCATATTCAAACTCAAATGAAGATGAATAAAAACTTTTCGTATAATCTTGTTTCTTTTTTATTTTTCATACTACTGATGAATAAAGCAGAGGGGTCGATAATTGATGGATTCGGTCTGCTCGAGCAACTCGGTTTCTTCTATATCATCAGACTAGTTTTCATATTGTTTGATGAATTTTTTCAATTGTTACAAAATAGTGTAAGAGTATGGAAAGAAAAAACACTGCTCTCTAAGAAAAATTCGAAAGATACTATTTTGAAGACATGATTTTATGTCTTTTTGACAAATACTTGATCGGTTTCTGTTAGAAAAAGTGTGGTTTCAGTAAAAATAACATGATATTTTGAATCAATATTCAAAATTGAGTCGATCTATGTGGGTTTCAAATATTTTTTGTCATGAAATTCACTCCTGGTTCCCTTCAAGGGATGAGTCAAAAAAATAAATTTCATCAAAATACATATTTTATTGTTTAATCATCTACATTTTGGCATCATGAGGACAAATTCTATCTAGTATAATTTTAAATGCTAATACATAGAATTTGTTTTCGTGTTTGATATTGACTCAAATCTCAACAGTACACACATTTTTTCATACATTATCTGCAAGTTTCAGTTCCACTATCATTTTACAACCTTAAAATTTGATCCCGACGGTCGAAATAAGTCTTTTTGATGAGAAAAAAAGTTCATAAAATTACTTGAAGCTTATATGGATCCACTCAGCTTTGAATGATGATTCAGAATATCATATTACTTTTACTTCCCTCACATACTTTTGACTGAAACCCACAAATTACTAGTGAAAAAACTATGAAATCATGTCTCAAAAAAAAGAAATTCTGTGAATTTTTCTTAGAAATCAGTATTTTTCCCTTGATACTTTCATATCATTTCGTAGCATTTGAGAAGCTCTATCAACCCATGTGAAAACCAGCGTGATCAATCATCAAATTGATAGATTAAAAAAAGCTGATTATTATCAACAGTCGGATTCAGTGTATATGCGACAGTCCCTTACTATTTTAACCCGTATAGGCACAACACAGTTAAGTATTATACACTGAATTTCACCAGAAATCACTTTCGAACATTTTGTATGAGAGTTTGTCGTAGAAAAAACCTACTATCTAATGGGAGTCGATTCGATTGCATCAGTTATCGATTTTCTCCTTATTAATATACTTGAAACTATCCTATCAAATTTGATGTCAATCTATTAAATCGAACACACCTGCTGTTTCAATGTCATATATTGACAAAAAAGAAACAGTATGCTTGACTGCACACTCTCATTTTTTTCCTTTCTTTCATGATACTTTCAAAAAGAAAAAAAAATCAATGGTGATATTCATCAATATTTCTTTCATTCGCTCAGTCGCGTCATTGCATACAGCAATATAAATATTTATATACAAAGATTATCTTGTCAAAAAATATTGCTCAAGTAAATAAATACAAAGAAAAAGTAATAAAGAAATCCTATCGGAATGTTCGATTCCATTAAAGGGTTGTTTTCATTTATTTTTATTATTCTGGCAACCATTTTTCTCGGACCTATTTTCAGCACATCTTATTATTATTTAATTAATGCTGACGCTACCTCTACAAGTGTAATATCGTGTAGTTTAATTGTTACTGTTAGCGTAGGATTAATAGATTCAATTATATATGGTATTAGTTTATATTTATCAATTCAAACAGCTAATGAATTTCATAATCAACGAATATTTTCTAATAAAGAAATGATTCATCATCATAAACATTTTCAATCAATAATAACACAAGAAAAACATTTATTACAACCAATTACTCACGCTATTGATATATTAATTGAAAATCAAGTGAATTTACATGATTTGATAAAAGATTTAATTACAGATAATCAAAATCATACAGATCAAATATTAATACAAAATACTTTAAATAAATTTGAAATATTAGAATTCATTGAAAAAACTGGTTTAATGACAATAAAAAAGAACATTAATGAAAGTCTTCGATTATTAAACTTCAACTTACCAAATAATAAAAATAATCTACAATCACATGAAACTTATTTTAACGATTTAACATTATTAAATTCTTATCTATTCAATCGCATTTATTTATTTATTTTTACATTTTCTTCTCTTTTATATATTTACCAGAATTTACTATGGTTTTTTCAATATTTAACTTTGAAAAATCCTGAAAAATATTCTTCATATTCATATATTCTTTCTATTATTATGATAAGTCAATCATTAGGATTAATTTATTTTATTGAAATAACAAAAACATTTAGTTATCTTTCACCCTTATATATTTATGCATGTATTCTTTTGATTCGAAGTTGTATAACTAGTTATCGATATTCTCTTTCTGTTTATTAATCTAGAATACACTTGTACATATTCATAAATAAAAAGATGATATGTAATGGTAAACTTTAGACTTTTGCTATTCTGTTGGAGTTGGAACATTGAATGGATCTGTCAAGCTAAATGGTTGGCTATTTGATAATCACCTTTTTACTGAGATATTTCAATAGGTGTTGTGTGATCAGCAGCAGCCGACTGCTGGTATATCAGTGGTAGTACGAACAAACATGCAACATAGGGTTCTACGAGTTGAAAGTAAGATAAATATTATCTTATCCTTTAGTAAAATTTTTGTATCATATCAAGCAACGAGAATACGAAAACGGAAGGACTTCATTAGAGAGTACGATAGAGAACATACCTGATCTATAGAAATTTTTCCGCAACAGTCTTTCCTAACGAGGCTCTAAGAATAATTCGAGTTGAACCTTTTGTTCAAAATTGTATCCTTTTCAAAATGACGTTTGGAGCTTGAAGATACAATCATTTCTGACAGAAAATGAATACTTCACATTGATTGTGTCCAGCGGTGGTCGTGACTAATGTACAAAATGTTTTTTCGCTGACAATTGTGCTATGTTCACGTCTTAAATAGTATTTTGAAGAGAAAAAAATTGTGAACAACAGGCATAACTCAAGCAATTTTTCTAGTCTTGTCATTGAAAGCTGTTGTGAGAAACTTTTATTTCTTTTTGGTCATGACTGTAACCACGATGCAGATCTCTATTAAAGATACTAGAAAAGAAAACGTATTAGGGATATGGAGTTTTAGTTTACTGATTAACCCTTTCAGACCCATGACTCAGCCACTCGATGAAATTTCTTTGAGATTCTATATTTAATATGGGCAGCGTGTATTATGGATATTTTCATCCAAACTTTTTAAAAATCTTTCAAGTCATTTTCGACCCATACCCGTACCCCCCTACGGGGATGGCAAGAAGTATTTTGGGCATCCCCGTGGAGGAGTACGGGCGTGGGTAAGGGTTATGAATCATATATAGATATATGTGCCGAAGTCTCTTCTATGTCATAGAGAAAACCGCTTCTCGATATCTTTTTGTATTCGCGAGTTATTCAAAGATCACGAAACTTGAAAAATCCGTACTATATTTCGTACGGTGAGCCTGACAGGGTTAGTTATGTCATAGATTCAGTCTAGCTATTGCACACTGGTATCACTGTTCACTGAAGCAATAGAACACATCACAACAAGAAGAGTATATTTTGATAGAGCCGATGTCCTATTGTTGCGGCGAACATAGATATCATTGTAGTCAATGCTTCATTGAATACTGATACAAGTGTAAGTAATGTCCCAATGGCTGTGTACCGATGACTCATTGGTCAATGATTACGCCAACATTGCACATCCTTAGAACGTAAATTGCATTCATGCATGACAGCAGAATACAAGACAATATATATAGAACACATATAGATATATGATGACATTACAGTAATGATAAAAAGATGAGATAATGTATAAGTGATGACACCATTTAACATAATATACAAACCTTTTTGAAAGAAAAAGAAAGCTATTGAATGAAAATTATTTAATATGACACGGTTTGATCCCTTCTCAGTAAAATTTTTCAGAAAAATTTCTTTTCCTACTCTAAATATTTTTTATTTGTGTCATATTTTTAAATTTTGTGAATCGATTTTCTTTCAATGTTACATAATTATTTTATTCATTTTCTCTTTCTTAGACATTTTTAAAAATCTTATCAATCTTTTACATATTCACATAACAACATATCATTTTCGTACTTGTTAATCACTGCTCCTAGTTGCTACTTATTTTCATCATTATTTAAATAAACGATGTGATACACGTCTGATACGATTTTCTGCTATACTTTATATGATTTTTCATTCGCTACATTTGGTAGGGCAAAGAGACACAGTACTAATGATGTGATTGTCAAAATACGAGAAAAATAGAAAGCCCAAATTATTTCGAGAAAATAACATTGTAAAAAAGAGAGTTCGTGAATTGAATCACGAGGTATAGGATAGATAAAACAGTTAGAAATTCAGTTTGAGAAGTCCAAGAACTAAGAAAATCATTTAACTAATGCTTCTCTGTCATGATAATTTTTCTCCATTCGTTTTTACCATCTAAGCTAATAACTGATCCTGCACGGTAACCTCCTTTACCATGAAGATGCCAACTCAGTCGGTTTTCTGCATTGTCTTTCTCATTATAATCCGCCAAGTTACAGTTTATAGTTGTTGATGATGGAGCAAATCCAAATGATTTATTCTGCGTTAAGTACCAATGTACATTGCCAAACTTTGTTGGTTGATTTAATGGACTATCCAAGGATAAGATTTCTGATGGTCCCATTGCTGCTATCTTCAATATCATTGATGAATTTCCTTGTATTGCACCAACAATAATGTGTTTCTTACATTGTGATCTTAATGCTCTTAGCTCTTCGACTGTTGTTCCATGACTATATGGGAAATCATAAATAATATTCCATGAAGGATTCAACGATGACAACGGTACATCATGAACAACACTTGATGGTAAGCCTCTTAAGAAATGTACATCGATAGTAGCCTCAAGTTTCTGTACACTTTGTTGTAAATTGTTAACTAATTTTTCTAATGATTCGATTTTCTTATTACTTCGATTCAACATATTCATTAGACAATCTAATTGTTCATGTTTTTCTTTCTGTTTATAAACTAGCTTACATCGTTGACATTCGATTTTGATTTCACCACAATTTTGTTCATGTTGGTCTAAATCTTTTTTTAATATATTCTTCTGACAACCACGACATATCTTCATTTGATATTGACATTGTTCTTGTTGATGTTTTTCAAGTGATTCATATAATAACATATCATTACACCCGTTTTGTTTGTTTTCACATTCAATTTTAAATTTACATAATCAAGCATAAAACATTGGTGAACAACGTTTTTCTTGATAATGTTGACATAATGGACAAAAATTTGGTTTTTCTTTCAGACATTTATCAATACATATCTTACAAAAAAGTCGTTGACAATTTTGGCATTCAACGGGTTTCCATAACAAATGAAAACAAATTGGGCAGAGATACTCATCATCAATGTCGCTATTATTTGTAATACGTTCTTTTGAAATACTCATTAATAATTTATATTAAACGTAAGCTGAAACAAAAAATCGTAAAATAAATTCGAAATTTAATAGAACAAAAAGTCATCACTAATTTTTATAAATATACAAAAATTATTCATTAAAAAGTGGTTTGATAAATTCATATTTATTTAAAAGCATTTTTCATTATTATAAATTTTGTGCTAGAAAATATCTTAGGCGTTTCGACGCAAGCAACCTGAACAATAAGAATAGTTCACAATACAAATATTAATCTTTGATACTGTTTAGAAGGTCTACATCAAATAATCACGGTCGTCAACGACTGGTTTTCAGTGTATTGTAAACGATCGAATAATCGATTTTCAGACTGTTGGTTAACTATATACGGCACGATAAAATATGGTCATAATACTGCAGCTACCATACATCAATGTAGAGCTATTTACGGCCGCAAAATCTGTGAAACAACAGTATATATTAGTGTTTTGGGGTGCCTCATCGCCTGTAATTATCGTCCTAGGGATGCATCAATACCAATTCTTCGACTTGGTCGAAATCGAAATCGGTTAATATTGGCAGTTGTAGAATTACTAAGTTTACATATATTTACATCAATTAATAATTTGATTCCAATTTTTTCAAAACCAATACCAACGAATTTTGATTAATGCTAAGTCAAAAATCTGGATTGAAATCGGTGCATCCCAACATCATCCAGAGAAAATATCGAGTTCACCCATCGACAACAAAACTGCTATAATACTTCACACTTACTTTAGTTGACGAAGAAGTAAAATAAAATGTTATTCGTTCTATGTTAAATAGAAACACGCCCATAAGGCTTATCTCTATATCTTTCTTATCGTCTTTACGATGTAAAATTACAGGAAAAAACCATCTTGTTCGTCAAGTCAATTATTTACCAATGAAAAAGAAAAGTGAAAGATAACAATTTTATATTTTCTTTTTTTCTTCAAAAGAATATTTTACTCTTTCTTATCCTTATTTCTGATGCTTATGCTAATTCTTATTATTAACAAATCATTATTTTATCATTGTAAAAGATCGTTGTATTTTAACACTCAATAAATATTGTTGAACATTGACAGTTATTTAAATCAAAACTTAATAATCATTCATGTCGTATATTTTCGAAAATGATAGTATCCGACAAGGTAAAGTCTTAATTAACCGAAAAAGAAAACTTACAACCATGATTCAAAAATATTTTGTTGAAAAAAAGAAAAATCAAAAATTATAAAATAATATTAACACATAAATTAATAGAACTGTCTTTTTTAGAAGAAAAAAAATCCTAGAGAAAAGTTCAATTACAAATGAAAACACACATATACACATTTATTTTATGAACATAAATTCATTTTTATATAGCAAGACAAACCGGAAGCATATAAGGAGAAAATACAAAATTGTCATACATACATATACAAAGACAAATAGATTATTAGAAATAAGTAATCATAGTAGAATGAATAGAAAAATTAGAATAAATGGCAGGCAAAAAATTTAGGAAAAAAGATTTGTATTTAAAAAAATACTGACTGAGTGGAAAGAAAATTTAGATTAAAAAAGATGTCAAATGTTTTTTGTATGATTATTTAAATTGCACATAATATATAGAAAGATTATTGAAATTTTAATTTGTTCGATCGATCATAGATATACCTATATATCTCTTGATTAAAGATCACCAAATGGATTATTCACCTGTTGTTGATTAACCATAGTAGTGCCATAGAGTGGTTGAGCAGCAAATGGATTTGTATTAAGATTGGTTGGTTGATTACTTATACCATTGAAATCCATTGACTAAAATAATATATTATTTTAAATGTTTCGATGATACGGTTTAAACATACTAATGATCCACTAGATACAACAAAAGGATTATTTATCGAAGATGTAGGTGATGGTTGTTGCCACACCGAATCTGATTGAGCATTCATCTAAACAAGAAAAGTTTCTGTAAATTCTTTTTTTTATTAAGTGAAGTCACTTACACTACTAAACGGTAAACTCATTGTTGAAGAATTTGGCCATATTGTTCCAGGTGTATTTGTAGTTCCTGCTGGTAGACCAATTATTTGTTGATTTTTTGCATCATTTGCTGTCCATTGATGATCTTTTCTATTAGAAAAAAAATGTTCAATTGATCGAAATAGTATTGGAAATCAGTAGAAAAACTTTTTTACCCAATTTTCGAGTAATCTTTTATATTAAGATGATCAACTAATTGATTGAGCGATGAATTAAGATCACCTGATTGAAGTGGTTTAGTAATTGTTGGGGTCTTTTGATCATTGATCAATGGTGGCATTGAATTAGGATTTTTATTTGTTGATACCGAAGTTGGCTGAAGAACATTACCAAACACATTTGCTGAATAATAATATTGAAGACAAAACGTTAGTATTTAAAAATAAATAAAATTTATTTACGTTTCGATGACGATGTATCAAGAACATTTTGAAATGCAGGAAATATATTTGTACTTGTTTGAGATGATGGTGTGGCTAATGAAAATATATCATCCGTAAATAATTGTTGTTGTTGTTGTTGCTGTTGTTGTTGAGAAAAGAAATCTGTACTACCGAAGAGATTTTCATTTGTCGTTATTATTGTTGAAATGGGAACTGATGGTGGCGATGAAGCTTCTTTTTTCTAAAAATATCATAAACAGTTGTTGATTATTCATATTTTTCTTTTTGTTTAATGAAAACTAAAAGTATAAGTTGAATTGTTATGATTCGAATTTGCTGATCATGAATAATTCATAAGAGAAATTCAACGAGTAATGAAACGATCTATAAAGGATGTTAGACCAAAAAACGCTTTTTGACTTCCGCTCGATTTTGGGCCAATTCCTGACCCTTCTAATGGATACGCACTTCAAAAAACAAAGCCTGTCAGCGTAACCATTTCGAGGCTAAAATTTTGAACTCATATGTGTTCTTTAGTCTTGTGATACTAATACAAAATGCGTATAATAAAAAATTTCTAGTAGATTATAGTTGTTTTCCAATGATACTTGACCTATCTTATTTATTGCTGCATTTCGAACAGTTTTTTTCTACTGATGCTCGATATTTTATTTGCCAAAGTTATAACTTGATCAGTTCAAGCTTTTTATGTTGCTCAGATAAAGACTATGGCAAACAGATGCATCAGTATCCATCTTTTTTAACATCTCAAATGGAAATTTCTATCTGCGCAAAAATAAAAATTGCACTATTTAGAGCACACTACAGTCATTAGAATATAAAGAAAGTCTTTAGATTGTTCTAGAACAGCTGAAGCATTATGATTAATGCTTTTCAGCATTGTTTCCTCTGCTAGGACCTGAGGGGGGAGAGCGTAAAAATCTTGATTTAAACTTACACTTACTATTCTTTTCGAAAATAATTTTATGTAAGTTCCACAAAAGTCTTTACGAAATGCTTAAAAAAGCAAAAATTCTCCGACCGTTCGGAGATATTCAATCCATCCCTTCACTGTGCATGGCCGTGAACTTTTGCATAGACAGGCAGACGTACGGTTTTTATTTGCTCGGAACTGACCATAAATCATTTAGAAAATCTTTTTAAGACGTGAAAGCTCTTTTCGAAACAGAATTTTTTTACGACATAGATTTACAAAAGATGCGCGCTGAACAAGAGATGACGATTTGCCCAACAAAATGGACCTAATCAACCTCACCATATCCACACCCAAATAATTAAATTTTACAAAGGAATATTGTTGTATATGTCTGCCTGGCTTCGTACCTTTTTCTAGACGTCTTTTACGAATGATTTCAATGTTCCATAAATTTTTGTATAATCTTACTACCATCAAAATGTGCGATATTTTATTGTTCATTTATCTTCAAAAAAGACGAGCTGCCGAAAATTCAATCGTTTAACTCATCGTAATTTACGAAAACTTCAAATCGAATATCAATAGTGACTTTATGACTATTTTCAATCCAAACAAATAATGCTAACTTTCGCTAAAAGAAATAAACTATACATACTATATTCAATTTTGCTAGAGCTTTCGTTTCTTCTTGAAGAACTGATTGTGGATCATCACTAACATTAGCAACAAAACCACGAGAAAAGCTTTTTGTATCTTGTTCTGTTGAATTTCTGTACAAAAAAAAACAAACTAACGATATGATATACAAATTGTTTAGTTTCACTTTGAGACTAACGTTTGTAGTGATGGTTTTTTGCCTTCTAGGTAAGCTAAATGATTTTCCAATGATTCTAAAAGACTATTTGAAGCCTAGAATTAAGAACAAGTAACTCATATCAGTTATTATATCCATCAAAAATCATAGATTACAATCACAAGAAAACAAATTTTCTATAATCGTTTTTTACTCACTTTATTTTTCTCGATTCCCTAGATATATAGATTTGGATAAATAATACTATTTCATTTCATTCATAATAACTTACCCGCGCTAAATCAGTCATGTCACCACGATCTCCAGCAGATGACTAGAATATAAAATAAATTTTAAATCATCAAGATTAACCTGCGTGTATATAAACTCTTTACACAACATGTTTGATCAATTGTCATTCACTTATAAAGCACCGAAGAGAATCAGAACTCCGTGCTCTTTCTAGCTATATAAGTTCAAAGTAAAAAGTTCTGAAACGCAATATTTTTCCTTAATGGTTACAGCTAAAACAATAATTCGAGGAGTTAAAATGCCTTCCTTCTCAGAAGAAGTACTTGTCAAA